CCTGTACAACACCCACACCCGCACCCGCACCTCCACACCCGGGCTGCACCCGCACCCACACCTCCACACCTGTACAACACCCACACCCGCACCTCCACACCTGTATGACACCCACACTCGCACCCACACCTCCACACCTGTATGACACCCACACCCGCACCTCCACACCTGTGACCTTTGCTGCACCCAGACCCACACCACCACACCTGTGCTGCACTCCTGCACCTCCTCACCTGTGCTACCTGGCAGCCACCTGGTCTCCTGAGCCCCTCTCCCTCCCACTGGCCCCCCTCCATGGCTGGGGATGGGGCCCTGTAACAGCTGGGCTGGGGGCACCTCGTTATCTTTGCCAAATGCAGTCACTCTCCCAGGAGGCCCCAAGGAGCAAGCTTATGGCCAGTGCAGCATCCACAGGGAAGGCCAAGCCTCTGTCCCTGAAGCCGACAGTGTTCCTGGTCAACTTGGGAGCTGTGGGGCCTGGCCCTGGGAAGAGCCTGGCCTCTGCCTCAACTCCTGGAGGTCACCTGTTTGGAAAGTCTTGCTGGGTACAAATGTCCCTGCTTACCCTGGGGCTTCTCAGCCATACCCTAGTCTAACAATGCTATCGGGTGGGGGCTCCTGCCCCACAGGGCCACAGACACATGAGCAGGCAGCTGGGCCCACGTGGCAGAGCCTAGGGAGGACTCCGGACCCCAGGCCGGGCTCCCTGGCAGTGACTCTCCATGCCAGCCAGCACATGGTGTTGCCAGGGGCAGGACACCAGAGCTCTGTGCTCAACCCCCGGGCTCGGCCTGCACCTTCCCTGGGCTGACTTCAGCCTGCATCTCTGCCCGTATTAGCCGTAACTGCAAAAGCAGTGTCCAGGAGCTCAAAGTCCTGACAGTCACTGAACCTGAGGGGCCGGAGACCCTGGACATGTGATGGAGCCAGCCCCAACTCCTGACACCTGACCAGGACGTGGGCACGTGCTATGCCCGAGTAAGCCTGGTCACACGCCCTACTGCTGTCCTGCTGGGGCGTGGTCAGCCTGCCCACTTTACCTGGCTGCTGCTGTCCAGAAGAGGGAGCCTCATGGCTGAGAGAATGAAGGGCTTCTTCACCTCCATCTGTGGTGCTGCAAGAGATGGAAGGTGGCTCAGCTCCGCCAAGGCTGGGACCTGTCACATCCCTGGGTCTGAGGCCAAAGGCCACACGACTAAGGGCCTGACCTCACCAAGCACTGCATGTGGGAGGAGACGATTGTAACCAAAGCACACCACGTCTCCACAGGGGACTGATGCCTTCTGCAAAGCGCAACCACACCAGCTAAGTGCTGAGGCCGACAGGCCAGGTCAGCAGGTGGGAAAGCAGGCAGGCAGGTAGACCCAGGCTGTCTGGGAGGTCCAGTCAGTGGTTCTCAGACCTGAAGGGCATCAGGTTCCCAGAGGCGCGCTCCCCAGGAGGGGCTCCTCTGCTGCCCCAGGTTGGGGCTCGACAGGCATGGGGGTCGTGTATGCCGGTGCTCTGGACCTCTCTGAGCGTGCAGCATAACCATTCGTCTCCTGACAGTCAAGTGGGGTACGCAGGTGGCTGTGCTCTGAGCGTGCAGCATAACCATTCGTCTCCTGATAGTCAAGTGGGGATACGCAGGTGGCTGTGCTGGGGCCAGAAGGGAGCACAGTGATTTTGTTGCCAGGCTCTCATATGGCTGATGCCAGTTCGAGTACTGGACCAGGTGTCTTGAAAATCACGCTGGGCGCATGTGTGTGTATGCCCCAGGAGAAGAATGGAAGAGAAAGGAGTGCAGCATGGCTCTTCCCCTGGGGGGTCGAGTTCTCACTTTCCCTCTCACTGTCTGTTTCTGTCCCTGTCTCTCTCTCTGGTGGGTGCATACATACTAAGGCAAAAACTTAAAAAAAAAAAAAAGGCTGGCCCTGTGGTCTGGCAGGTAAGGGAGCTGGATCCCACCGGCTAACCGTGCAGTTAGAGTCCCAGACACAGGGGCTTGAAAACACACACGCACTTGGCAGTGCATATTCTGTGATTTGCATGTCCAGAATCCTGATGTGGTGAGGAACAGAGCAGAGTGGACTGCAGGTTGATCATGCAAGCCGGGGTACACTCATTCGCTCTTTCTTTTTCTGCCTCTCTCTGGGGAGTGTATGCACCCTCAGACAAATCGGGAGGAAAAGTGAGATTAAGAAAAAGAGAACAAAGGACCTTGAGCACATGCCCCGGGGCATGTTGCAAGTGACAGCCCTCAACACAGGTGTCCTCAGCTCTGTCCTCACAGATGAGAAGCCTGAGGCCCAGGGGTGGAGCCTGCCCAGTCTCAGAGCAGCAAATGACAGAGCCTGGTGGCTTGGTACAGCCTGGAGCGGGGCTTGGCAAGCAGCCTGGCAGTCTTGGGCAGCGTCTGATAAGGACGCCAGTGGGCCCCAGAGCCAGGAGCCCGACTTAGCGGATCAGGACGTGTGAGAGACCTCAAAGAAATGCTGGGAGGAAAGGGTGACAGAGGGCCACACCAGGCAATGGCGAGGTGGCTGGCTGCGGGGGTGTGGGTCCACCCAGGCCCTCCCTGAGTGTGCCAGGGTCCCAGCTGGCCATGCTGCACTGTGGAGTGAGGACTGCTGGGGTGTCTGCCACCCACCCCAAGAAATCAATGTAGAAGAATTTACAGAAAAGGGGCTCTACCAAAGCTCAGAGTGCGGGTTAATCAAGCTAGAGTGAACAGAACTCTGAAGACAGCCCCCAAGGAGGACAGGAGCTGTGCTGCGCACCTGCCAAGGGTCTGCAAGCTCCCGAGTCAGCGAGTGGGGAGGATAGGGCTGGGACGGTCTGCCGCTGCCAGCAGGGCTGTGCCACCGGGCTCCCTGGGCCAGGGGACAGAGGACAAGCACCAACAGGCGAGGGCACGGCCCCGCATGGCAGGACTGTGGGAGAGCAGAGTGGTGCTCACAGTCCTCCGCAGACCTGGGGCTGCTTGGCATCTGCCAAGGCCGAGGACGCGCGCACCAGGCCAGGGGTACCCCCAGGGGCACCTGTGCCGGAGAGGCTGTTCATGACAGCGAGCCCACCAACGGGCCAGCACTGGGCACTGGGATGGCGAGCCCGTGGCATGGCAGCGGGCACGGCATGGAGGGAGCACACAGCTACTGGCAGCAGCCCGGTCCGCCCAGGGTAAAGCACAGAGGATGGGCCTGCTTGAGGACAGTGCAGGCCTGCCTCTGCTCCCGCAAGGCCTGCTCCTTGAGAGCAGATGGGCCGACGGGCCGGCTCCACCCTAACTCCTGCACCAGCACACCTTCTGGGAACCTCCCGACTTGTACATGCATTTCCCGGGAAGGGTTAAGATCATGAACGAATTTGGAGCTGGTGGGTGGCATGGTGGCTAAGGTGCTGGACTCCCACATGGCCAACCACGGTCTGAGTCCAGGACCTGGCAGCTTGCTTTTTCATGTTCCCCCTTTCTCTTTCTCTCCTTGTCTGCCTCTCTCTGGAATGCATGTGCACTATAGCAAACAAAATAATAATAATAAAAATGAATAAGATTAAATAAATAATCATTTTTAAAAAGAACATGAAAGAATACAAACAACCCACCCAGCAAAAAAGCAGATAGGAGCCTTCAGTGGGCACCTCTAAGTGCCAGGTAGGAGGCAGGGCAGGCCCGGCATGGCCCAGCAGGCTGGCCTGGGAGGCCATAGGCCGGCCCAGTCCCCACCCTGAGTGGGAAACAGAAGAAATAGGGACACATGAGCAAGAGCATGCCCCTGGCCACATGGAGGATGTGCTGGTGGCGCCCGGCCACTCATCCATCCCTCAAGGCCTCGCAGTAGGTCAAGGCTGTGGCACACAGCCGGTGTGGGTGCCCTCGAGGAGCTGGTATCCTTGTGAAGAGACACCGGCAGCTGGCAGCACATAAGCCCCCATGAGCTGTGCTGGAGCCAGAAAGGGATAGACGCAGACTCTGAGACCCTGACAACAGGGCGCTGGGCATGGCGGGGGCTCGGTGCCAAGGGCAACTTGAAAAGCAACATGACACTAAGAGCCAAGCAGAGGGGAGGCGGGCCGAGCAGGCACAGGGGCAGGGCGCCTGGGCTGGAGGGCCACGCGCTGGAACACTGGCCATGACCGGGGAGGTCCCCTGGGGAGCAGGGTGGCCTCAGCAAGATGTGGCGACTCCAGTCTCACTGCAGTGGAGGAAAATAGCCACTACCAGGACATGCTAGAGAAGTTCCTGATTTTGAAAAAAAGAAAAATCGGGGCCAGTGGGAGGTGTGGCGGTTGGGGCACTGGATTTCCGCATGGCCGACTGCGTTCAAGCCTTAGACCTGGCAGTTTGAAAATCACACTGGAGCCCAGCAGATGGTGTGATGGCTACATCTCTGGACTTCCACATAGTCGACTGCGGTTCGAGTCCTAGACCTGGTGGTTTAAAACTCACTCCATGTGTGTGTGTGTGTGTGTGTGTGTGTGTGTGCGTGTGCGTGTGCGTGTGCGTGTGTGTGCGTGCGTGCATGCGTGCCCAAGAACCCAACGGGAAAGGACCAGAGGAGACTGGAGAAGGGATTGAGGCGTGACCATCCCCTTCAGGGGGTGATTTCTCATTTCCTGTCTCTGTTTCTCTAATGAGTGTACGTGCCCTATAGCAAAAATCTCTTAAAAAAAAAAAAAAAAAAAAAAAAACTCTTAAAAATTTTTTTTAATTAGAAAAAAAGAATAAAAAAAATCATGCCAGTCAAGTGTGCATGCATGCTCAAAATTCCAGGAGGAGAATAGAGAAGGGACTGTGATGTGGCCATCCCCAGGGGGTGAGTTCTCACTTTCTCTCTGTCTTCCTCCAGCAAGTGCATGCACCCTATGGCAAAAATTTAAAAAAAAAAAACAAAAACAAAAACTGGGACCAAAAGATGGCACAGAGGCTAAGGCGGCTGGACCCAAATGGCCAGCTGAGTGGTTTGAGTCTCAGAGCCAGCGGCTGCGAACATTCTCGGCACGTGTGCGTGCCCAAATCCCGAGAGAACACAGAAGGGCTGCAGCACGGCCCTCCTCCGAGATTTCCCCTCCTCCTCTGTCTGCAGCAAACGCACACACTCTATAGCAAATACATAAATAAGAGAGAGATAAAAAGAAATGAAAAATCCTTCGATATCCAAAAACAAATGCAGGAAACACTGCAGCTCAGAAGAGGGCAGGGGACGAGAGCCGCAGACCTGGAGCCCAGGACAGCGCTGCCAGGGCAGAGGCGACGCTTCCTAGTTAAAGTCGGGTTCAGAAAAGCAACTAGTAACTTCTTCGAGAGTTCTGTTTGCCATAGGGCACATGAGCTCACTGGAGAGAGACAGGGAAAGGGAAAGATTTTTTGAGAGAAACCACCCCCAGAGCGGGATGGCCACACCACAATCCCCTCTCCTCCGTTCTCTTTGCATTTTGGGCACACATGCACACACATATGCGTGTAGCATGACTTTCAAGCCACTGGGTTTGGGATTTGAACTGTGGTTGGCCATGTAGAAGCCCAGTACCTTGACCACCAAGCCACCTGCTGGCCCCACAACAAATAATTTTTTAGTACAAGAATGTCTCATGCAGGGACCAGCAGGTGGCATGGTGGTTAAGGGCAATGGATTCCCACAGGGCCAATGACGGTTCGAGGTCCAGACCTGGAGGCTTGCTTTCTTACTACCCCCCTCGCCCTTGCTCTGTCCCTCTCTGGTCAAATTAAAGTAAATAAATAAAGTTAAATGAAAGAAAAAAATGTCTCATGTAATATTCAGGGTTTCCTATTTGTTTCTGCTAAACCTGGCAATTTTTAAAAAAGAATTACTTTATTTAATTTTATTTATTTTTTAATTTGACCAGAGAGACACAGAGAGAAAAAAAGAGAGGGACAATGAGAAAGCAAGCCACCAGGTCTGGGACTCAAACCATGGTTAGCCATGTGGGAGTTTTTAGCACCCTAACCACCATACCACATGCTGGTCCCCTAAACCGGGCAATTTTATGCCAGAGAAAACGGAATCACATGGGAACGGAATCAGCAGGTGGCATGGTGGTTGGGGCGCTGGACACGCCCACATGCTGACTGTGGTTCGAGTCCCGGACCTGGCGGCTTGCTTTCTCACTTTCCCTCTTTCTCTGTCTTTCTCTGGTCAAATTAAAATGAATGAATAAATAAAATTAAAATAAATAATTCTTTTTTAAACAAAAAAGAAAGAAAACGGAATAACACATTGGGTTGTCGGAAAAGTCATGATCTATTTTTCTATACAAAAACGCATCACGGCTTTTTTGGTGAGTTAATATTTAAGACAGTCACGGAAATGTGAGCCAAGAGTCCTGTAACCAGCAAAACGATCAAAGTGAAAGGCACAGGCCGTGGTCAACAACTGAGAGCTCGGGGCTGGCAGGAGGCATGGTGGTGAAGGTGCCGGAGTCCCTCAAAACTGACCAGTTTGAGTCCTGAACCCGGAGGCTTTAAAATCACACTAAGCGCATGTGCATGTGTACCCAAGACCCCAAGAGAAGAACGGAGAAGAAGGGATTGTGGCGTGGTCATCTCCCTGGGGGGTATTTTCCCACTTTCCCTAGCTCTGTCTCTCTCTGGTGAGCACACGTGCCATATGGCAAAAACTTTAAAAAATAAATAAACAAACAAGTAAGAACTCAGGGACATTGTCCCCAAGAGCCCTTCCTGTGAGAGCGAGCAGAGGCACGAGCCCAGGGCCGAGGTGGGCAGCACACAGTGCCTGCAGGACCAAGGCCAGGTGAAAGCCCAGAGCCCGAAGGACAGGACGTCACCGCTGCACAGTGCTAAGACGGCGGGCCGCGGGGGACATGTGCGAAGTCATCCCTGTTCTCACCGCTGTGCTGGCGATGGCAGCACTGGTGTCCCTGTGAGTGTTTACACAACATGAGGGAAAACAGATGAGCAGCTAGGGGGTCTGCTCCTGCTTCTGAATCCAGCTGCCAACTTGCAGGAAATTCAGATGAGAAAGAAGCATGCTGGGGCTAGCAGGTGCTACGGTGGTTGAGGCGCTGGTCTTCACATGACTGACCACAGTTCGATTCCCGGACCTGGCGGCTTGAAACTCGTGGTGTGTGTGTGTGTGTGTGTGTGTGTGCGTGTGTGTGTGCATGCCCCACATCCTGAGGATAGAGAAGGGATGGCGACATGACCATCCCCGGGGGTGCTTTCTCTCTGGTGAGCGCACGTGCCCGGTAGCACACCAAGACAAACAAGACAGCATCTGACCTGCTCCTGGAGGGTGCGCTCGGCCAAACGTGACCCTGGGCAACTCTGCAGGACAGGTGCCGACGGGGGATCCTGAGTCAGGACGACCGGGCTCACGGGGAGTGGGGCTGGGGCTGCGTCGTCAGGAAGGGGTGTCGGGGCCTCGTGCAACCCAGGAGACCGGTGTGGGCACAAGGTGTATCTTTGTGACGTGGATACTCAGATAATTGTGAGTCTTAAACATTTTACTGCCCATGTCTCTGTATTGGCCTGGCTTGATTTTTCTCCCAGGTGTGTGAAAGGCCTTTGAGCCAGGTCATTTCAAATCTTATGTCAGGGATTTTTTTTTTTTTTTTGGCTAGGGGGGATTTACCTCACCCCGCGG